GCGGGCTACGGCGGTAAGTCTCTCTCTCTCTCTCTCTCGCTCTTCTCCCTTCTTCTCCCCGACGCTCTCTGTTCTTTGCAACGGCTCGAAGGTAGAAAAGGCAAAGGCGGGCAAGGTAAGGAGGGGAGGGGCGAGGCTCGTTTTGTATTTATGCAGGGAAAGGACGAAATGGTCAGGCGACGAAATCGGGGAAGTTTCCCTCAAGTCCAGGCACAGTTAATCCAGATCCGATTTCACCGCCCACGCGCCCACCTTTTCCTCATTAATCGCACGCACAGTTATGTCATGTCCGTTGACACCGCGTCGCATCCAACCGCAGCAATAGCAAGCCCCGAGAAACTGCCTCAAAAAGCGTGCCTACCGTTGTCAGCCGATGGGAGGGGAATATTCCCCTAGCCGATTCCTTCCAGACTAAGGAACTGGGCGCCGAGCCCGTTACGGTCTAGGGGTTCGAAGGCTGGGCCCCCAAAGGTCTCAACAGCTGCCCCAGGACGAATAGAGTTAGGGACAACTATGGGCGAGCCCGTACACGGCCGAGGCCCGAGCAAGCAATCGCTCGGGATGCCCTAAGTCATGTCCGAGACCGGCAGGGAAGTCTCCGAATGGGATCCCACTGTAGGGAGGCGCCGAGCCCCCGGGGCCAATCGAACGGCCCTGAGACCCACTAGAGAAGCCCTCCGATACTTTTGGAGTGTGTCTCTTGACCGCAAGCCGACCCCTATCGAATGGGGCATGGGCCTCCACTCGTACTTACCCGATAACAGCTCACCGGAAGTGTCACGGCTCGTGCCCACCGAGGGTAGCCTGACATATTCCACCCCTCCTTCCAAACGAAAAGGATGCGCGAGGGTCGCATAAAAAGCCAGGGGAACTCCTGATCGCCCTCTCGCTCCGTGCGGAGGCTCGGGGGCTTTTCCTGCAAACTTGCTGAGACCCAGCGACCCAGGCTCGCACTCGATTAGGCACGGCAAACAACCCCTCCTTCCGAACGAAAAAGATGCGTGAGGGTCGCATAAAAAGCCAGGGGAACTCCTGATCGCCCTCTCGCTCCGTGCGGGGGCTCTTCCTGCAAACTTGCTGAGGCCCAGCGACCCAGGCTCGCACTCGATGGGCTCGGCAAACAACCCCTCCTTCCGAACGAAAAGGATGCGCGAGGGTCGCATAAAAAGCCAGGGGAACTCCTGATCGCCCTCTCACTCCGTGTGAAGGCTCGGGGGCTCTTCCTGCAAACTTGCTGAGACCCAGCGACCCAGGCTCATACTCGATGGCCTCGGCAAACAACCTCTCCTTTCGAACGAAAAGGATGCGCAAGGGTCGCCTAAAAAGCCAGGGGAACTCCTGATCACCCTCTCACTAAGTGCGGAGTCTCGGGGGCTCTTCCTGCAAACTTGCTGAGGCCCAGCGACCCAGGCTCGCACTCGATGGGCTCGGTAAACAACCCCTCCTTTCGAACAAAAAGGATGCGCGAGGGTCGCATAAAAAGCCAGGGGAACTCCTGATCGCCCTCTCGCTCCGTGCGGAGGTTCGGGGGCTCTTCCTGCACCCAAAATGAAAGCAAGCCACCCAAGCTCGCACTCGGAGGTTCGGAAATACGTGACAAAAAGGGCACCGAGCCCGTTACGGTCCAGGGGTTCGAAGGCTGGGCCCCCCAAAGGTTTCGATAGCCGCCCCAGGACAACAGAGTCAGGGATGATTGTGGGCAAGCCCGAACATGGCCAAAAGCCCAAGCAAGCAAATGCTTGAAAAGCCCTAAGTCATGTCCGAGACCAGCAGGGAGGTCTCTGAATGGGATCCCACCGTAGGGAGGTGCTGAGCCCCCGAGGCCGATCGAACGGCCCTGGGACCCACTAGAGAAGCCCTCTGGTACTTTTGGAGTGCGTCTCTGGATCGCTAGCCGACCCCTATCGAATAGCGGTACGGGCCTCCACTTGGACTACCCGATAGCAACTCACCGGAGATGTCACTGCTCGTGCCCACCAAGGGTAGCCTGACATGTTCCACCCCTCCTTCCGAATTGAAAGGATGCGCGAGGGCCGCCAAAAAAGACAGGGAAACCACTGATCGCCCTCTCGCTCCGTGCAGAGGCTCGGGGGCTCTTCCTGCAACTAGGCCAAGTCCCAGCGACTCGAAGTCGCACTCATGGGCCCGGCAAACATGATAAAATTCCTCGCTCAACAGGGACAAAGCCTCTAGAGGGGTAAATCCACTCCTCTAGGGCCTCGGGGGCTACACCCGATGGGTGCGCTCGCGCGCACCCACCGGAACCACGAGTACAAAACACTATCCCAACGGGAGCCGCTGCACGCCAAAATCTCGACAAAGCCTCAGGGAGAGTGTTCGCACTCACCCCAAGGCTCGGGGGCTACTGTCGGATACTATAAAAAGGGGTGCCCTAAGCAAGAACCGAAAAGATCGCTTAAACCTCGCAAATATCAAAGCCAAAGGACAATCACAGGGTCTCAGCCGATTCTCCGACTCGCCCGAAGCCCGCGTCGCAATGACTCTCTGCCTCGTCGAGGCCCTCTCGCCGAGGCCCTCTCGTGCCGAGGCCCCGCCCCGCAAGGCCTCGGACGGGTTACCAATTCTCCAATTCGCCCGAGGCCCCACGAGTGAAGCCTCGGACGAAGTACCGATTCTCCGACTCGCTCGAGGCTGGCTCAGCAACAACCTCATCGCCTCCGCCTCGACCGACTTCTCTGACAAAACGTCACGCGTCCAACCACTCCCACGACGTCAGCCGCACGTGGGCACAGTACAGCAGGGTGGCCGACGCGACGTGAGAAAGGACAGAACAGGGGTTACCGACCACTGTGCTCAGCACTGTACCCATGCCTGGCACCCTACTGCACTGTGCTACCTAATTCCTGCTCCTGGAGCAGCACGGCGTGGGGAAGCAGGCACGGGTCACTGTAGCCTCGGAATCGGTGCATGAGACCAACTGCTCCCTCCAAAGCCTCGGCAATCCACTTCAGGGTCTCGGCAGCCTCGGGATTCGCGCCCACTGAGCTCCCCACGATGGCTCGGCCTCGGCACCAACTGAGCCTCGGCTCTTTTCACCGTCAACCCATAGCGACCAGCACATCGTCGGCCATGCCCTGCGTCAAGCTGTCACTGGAGCGCCCACGTCATACGAGATCGGGTGTGACCGGCGCGTTGCTCCAGTACATCAAGGACAAGACCACTCCATTGACCATGCCGCTACAGTAGTAAGCTACAGGACTCAGGCACGCCACCTCCGCTCGCCGCATGGCGAACACATGTATCACCCCTGTCCCTCCTTCAACTATAAAAGGGGAGACCGGGGCCGTTCTTAGGACGAGAGGCACTCACGAGCTCACCGAGATAGGCTCACGTAGACACACACTCTCCCCAGCTGCCTGAGAGCAACGTCTCAAGCAACCCACACCGCTCCACGCCGAGACCTGGGACTAGTTCCCTCTCTCACCCAGCTTGTAACCCCCTACTACAAGCACGTCGGTGCAAGGAATACAAGATCGATCTCTCATACTAGACGTAGGGCATCGATTGCCTGAACCAGTATAAACATTGTGTCTCATTGCATTACCTTACGAGATTAGGGGCACACAGTTCATGTTTACTAGTTGGTTGAGGACCCCTCGGTCCGAAACACCGACAAGAATCTCTAATGGACCATCAACACCTGCTATCCCCTCATCTACAGCTTTGAAGCCCATGGCTTCATAGATTTGTTCCTCATCCACTAAAACAATAGCATCCCCATCTAAATTTTCCTCAGGTAATATTGTGAAAGCTAACCAATTAATAACATCATCTAATTTTGTATGCTCTGGACTGCTACAAGCATCATCTGTGCATTTAACATTTCCTTGCTATACTGTTACACCAGATGTGGCATGAACACTATGCTCATTTGGCACATTTCCTGTTGTTGCATCTCAGTTCTCTCTAGATGATACTTTATCCTTGTCAAGTACTTCACAACTGACATCCATTTTCTTCTCATCTCATCTAGCTTCTATCATCTCCCTAGACTGCTCATCAGTAGTAACCTTTCATTCTGTCCTACTATCCTTGTCCAGACCCCAAACAATTAGCTGCTACCCACTACCCCAAATGATCCTTCTAGTCATTTCATCCACAAATTTAGACAGAGAACAGTGACAGGTAAGATCAATCCAAACATCATGCTCTTGGTCATCCATTTCAGCAGATCCATAATCAACATTGCCTGTGTACTTAGCAACGCTAACGTGGATTCTAAACGCATTGCCAAGATCAATCCTGATAATAATCATAAACAAATAAACAAATATGTGGAGTTAGGAGACATCCAACTCCAAAACACTACGGGGTCCCAAAAACTAGACCAAACACAACAGCACATCAAACTTACCAAGGAGGGCAGTCAGTTCACTTCATCTTAACGCATACGATAAACAACAAGGGCTACCGCAACGTCACTACAATCAAATAGACCACCAATCAAATCGAAACCCTAGATTGGGGAACACAACTGGGAAAATAGGGTTTAGGGGAGTGCGGGCAGTACCTAGTATGGTCGTCGTGCGTCCAAGGAAGGGGAAGAAGAGTCGATGCCGTTGCCGCCGCGTCTACCACACCCGCCGTCGCCGACGCCAGGAGTGGGGAAGAAGGGGGAATGGACTAGGTTTGACTCAGGGCTAGGCCAGCTGGAGACAAAAGAAGAAGGTGAGGGCAGCATGATCATTTCGCGTGCTAAGTTAAGGCTCTCAGGCTCCTTGCCACGTTGACATATCCATTTAGTGTGTCATCTTAGTAAAAATGGTAAAAATATAGAAGGATTATTGTTTAGCACGGTAAATATGTAGGGATACTCCTAAAGCTGGCAAACGTACCTCACCGAGTGGCCGGGCAAAACACCCAGTCGGAAAGTCGCCGACGACTTGACGTGGGGGACACAAAATAACGCGGGCAGCGCCACGCCAAGCGCGTTCCTGTCGCGGGGCGGACACAGAGAGAGGAAACCGGAAGGGGAAGAGATGAGCTCCTCCTCCTCGGCGTCGGCCGTGCCGCCGGAGGACGACGTCTGCTCCGTCTGCCACGACCGCTTCCGGATCCCGTGCCAGGCGAACTGCTCCCATTGGTTCTGTGGCAAGTCCCTTCTCCTACTCTTCTTCCTCTCCCTACCTGGTCCCGCCGTGCCCCTCTTCTCTTTACGGAGATTTGGCTGTTCTTTCCCTAATCTCGATCCGACTGCGTGGAGGGAGATCGAGCCAGTCGGCAGATGCGCTTGGCTACGCAGAACTGTCAGCTACTCGTTTCAGAATAGATTTGGGGCTGGTTGCCTTTCTTTTCTTTTCTTTTTTTCCTGTAGAAGGGTGGATTCGTTCGAGTTGTCAAGAATTCCTGGGTTTGCTAAATTGCTGCGGTTTGCGAGTCGGGTGCTGGAATTGGCCTTGATCCCTCTTTACCATAGGAGTCTGACTACGAATTAACTGCATGACAGCATGAGTCGATGCAAAATGAGGATTTAGGATACTGAAAACAATGGAAGTTATAGAGGCATATATATAGCCTATATAGGTGAGTAGACAGGGTAATGCTAGTTGGTAGATAGTGTCGAGCTGTCGACAACACGAATTGATGCTAAAGAGACATCGGATCTTGGAAGGGTGGTGTCATGGAATGGAACGGAAACCGATGAACACAATACTTGTGGTAGCCGAGCCAAACAACTCTTCTGTAACTTCTGCCCGACAGAACAGGATGAATTGTTTTAGCCTTTTAGGGCAATAAGAAGCAGAAGTTAAGAAGAACGGCTGCCCCCTACAGATCAGTATCACCATCACTATTTCTATTAAAAATAACAAGCCAATACAAAGATGGGGTTATCTTTTCTTGATTTGAAATTTTGTGTAACTTCTGTGATACGTAGATGTGTGGTCTTGTGTGCTAGAAATGACCAGACATACATATAAAGAAATGATTCTTTTTCTCTTTTTCCAAATTTGGTGTACTAATATTATCTTATAAATTGCGCAACGCTTACACAACTTTACTGCCTTGGAGTTTTCTCTATTACTGAATGTGGTGATACGATCATCTTTTACAGGAGAGTGCATCATCCGTGTTTGGCATCATGGACCTGCTGTACAGGCTTGCAAGTGTCCCATTTGTCGCCGCCTTATAAATTTACTGGTGCCTGCTGCTTTATCAGAGCAGGAGGATGATCCACAAGCTCATCGTATTTTAGGAGAGATTCAGCACTACAACTGTATATTTGGTGGAGCACCACGCAGCCTGACTCAGGTTGGTACACTGTCCATGAAATCTGGTGTCTTCACTATACTTTCGAGAATAAACTCGACACTTGAGATTGGTAAAAGTTGCTGCCTTTGATATTGCCATGCTGCTATTATTGTTAGAGTGCATGAAAAAACATTGGCCAAACTCCTTGATAAACAAGGTCCGAGACAAGGTTTCGTATTGTTTCAAAACAGAATTCATGTTCTGTTGCTCCATTGGCATGTCTCTCCCAGTTCCTATAGGATTTGTATATGATTGGGAAATCATCTTCCAAAGAAATTGGACTATTGTACACGTGCCTTAGACATGGTGATTTTAATGGACCGTACTTTTAGCATATGATTACTTTGATCACTCGCTTTCTTTCAGACCGAACCTACTATCATCTTTGTTATCAGGAGTAATTCCTCTTTGGACTTGACATAATTAAAATGTTCTCCTGCATTCCTTGTAGAGAATGTAAGAAATTCCCTTGTTAATTGTGGGGTTCATTAGATATATGTGGCCTTCATGTTATAACAGATATGGCTATTGGAGCTGTCATAGTTGTATAAGGAATACAAGTATACAATTAAGATACAGCTGTCAGAATTGTACAATGAATATGGCTACTTTTTCAACTAGAAATGTATGTCCCTAGCATCTAGCCATATAGTCTTGTGGGAGGTTTTCATCTAACTACTTTATTTTGATATCCCCGTTATCCAGAGGTTGCAAGACCTGCCCTTCTTCATCCGAAGACTGTTCAGAGAACTAATGGATCCCCAGCGGACTCTCCCACTTGTGTTCAGGGCGCGGATGATGATGATGGTAAGTCCCACAGGATCAAACTATTCTTTTGCTTCATATTCCTCTTCAATATTATGCTGGGAAGTTACTAAGATTGGGAAAGCAAACAGGTTGCGCTGTTTCTGACCTCACCTCAGTTTCATACCATCGCCCAGTGCAATGGATGTGAGAGATGAGACCATATATGAATCTGATAAGATGATGACTTATTCGAACTTGTAGGTCGCACTGAGTGCAATTTATGTGCTAAGCCCTGTCGACATTCTTCCCGAAAGTAAGTTCACCATATTCCCAGAACAAGTGGTAGCATCTTAATAAACCTGTCGCTGCTGTTGCCTGAACTGTATCATATATTCATCTCACATCGTGGCCTTGTTTCTGCAACCTGCAGGTGTGCTGGGGCTGTTTGGATTCGTCGATGACCTGCTCATCCTGCTGATCGTGTTCCTCCACCTCGCTGCCGTTTACCGGTCGTTGCTCCTGTACCGCCACGGGGGGCAGTAGAAGTTGCTGTGCGTAAATCGTTTGCTTAGCTGGTTTTCATGTGGAGTTCTCTGAGATTGCAGCGGATTTGGAAGATTGCTAAGTAGATGACGTTGTGAAGGACGGACGGACGGCTTAGCCTTGTCCCTGCTCTGTACTATTCTACTATGCCTGTTTCCTCACGGTGAACTTTGGTTGGTTGATGCAAGTGATCTTCCCTTCGTTTTCGTCGCAAAAAAGGGAAAGAATTTGCCTTCGTTTGTTGGGCTTATTGTACAGACTACACACTTTTTTTTCTTTTTCACTAGGTAAATGTGCGTGCGTTGCAACAGAAACACATAATACTACGATAATATATGTATGAGCGTGTGTTATATTGTTATCTAAAATAAATATCGTAATCATAATGTTTCAATCAATATTACACAAGTATTCACGAAAGATAGATAGTTAAAATATAACTATCATAAATCCTTTTATCTGTGCTTTCTCTTATTGTTGATTTTTTTTGTGATACGTGCTTTCTGGATTTGCCTTATTGTTGTTTTTTTTTCTTATTGTTGATTTTTTTTGTGATCTGTGCTTTATGGATTTGCTGAAAATATATGAATACCGTGGCTGCATATTGGAGTGGGGTGCACGTGCATGCATCCATGCATATGGAAAGACCCAAAGGAACCTGTGAGGGAGGAGCGCAGGATAGAGCCGGGCAGAGCAGCCATGCAGGGGTTGGGGGAATTTCCTTTTCTGCATCGGGTAGTCATGGATCGCATGAAGATTTTGGTCCTGTCGAGTAGACGTTGACAATCCGTATGTTTTAGTTGTAAAGATTTTTGCTTGCTTTCCCTTGGAAGTTGGAATTGGAACCGATGTTTGCATTTCAGTAACTGGATTGAACGCTATCAGTTCTCATCATTTATAGACCCAGTTTCTAAAGCTTAGTGGGCCGTAAGCCCATTGTCTGTCATGGTGGGCCTGGGGTCTGGGCCGCGACGAGTAAAAGAACAGGTAGGGGATCGCGCTGGCCGAGTGGGGGTGGTTGGTTGGCTCTTGCGGGAGGGATGGGATGGCGACGGCGGGCGTGTGCGGCTGGGGGCGGCTCGGAAGGGGCACGGTGGAGACGCGGCCCCGCGGTGGAGCCCTCGCCTCTTCTTCTCCTACCCGCCGAGGGAGACGCTGGTGACCTGACGAACTGAGCCCACGGACGAGAGGGGAGAAGACGGGTACAGCCGGAGCCCGGAGGAGCGCGCGCCCGCGCACGCGGCTAAGCGGATCCACCTAGTACAGTCGTACTCTCTTGTTTTTTCCCGTATCCTTCGCTCAGATTTGTTCGCTGCGCTGCTCCCAAATTTCTTCTTGGCTGATTGCTGCTTCACCCAGTGATCGCATGGTCGTCTTCGCGTTTGCTTATCGCCTTCTTCTTTTTGTCCTCTAGGGAGCACCTAGGAATCGCCTTGTTGCTGCATCGGGGCTTTTTTTTTTTGTGTGGCAGTGTTCCTCTCTGCTCCCGCTACCGTTACTGATATCCTGTTAGGATTCAGGACTGATGTACGATTTCGATGTAATTGATGGCAGCCGAAACAATTCTAGGTTTTGTTCGGTTCACTACTTGCTGTCCTCTCTTCTTGAAATCACAATTAGCTTCCCTTTGTGTTCACCTCACCTGCATCGATGTTCATTTCTTATTCTTACGAACATAACATTGATTGAAACCAGCTTTCTGCTTCTGTGCAGGATGTTGGCCAGATCACCAGCACTGCCTTTGGTGACTGCTGAAACTCCTGCATTTGGCTTATTTATTACAGCTGTAAGATCCTCAATCTAGCTTGCTCCTTTATAAGATTGTTGGCGAAATCACCAGCAATGACCCTTAAGGCGCTTGCATCCCAATATTCCTCCCTCTGCAGCGCAATGTCTCGAGTGCGCCGGCTGTGAAGCTTTCAGATAACAATTGCGGAGGAAGATTGAATGTCCGGCAGCAAAACATCGAGCTTGGGAAAAGCCGTCGGGAATGGCGGACGCTATCAGCCGACCAAGCACAAGCTTCTGTCGTGGATGTCAATGAGGAGTGCAAACAAGTCCTCACTTCATTGGATTTCTCCAGCGAAGACGCCGAGAAGATGCTGAAGAAGGCGTTTGGATGGATCCACTCGCCGTATTGGAGCGAAGAGAGAAAGAAGGAGGTTCCAAATGCCGAGGTGGTGACTGGAGTGTTGAACTACATCAGGAGCCTTGGGCTATCGGACGAAGACCTTCACAAGTTGCTGAAGAAGTTTCCGGAGGTTCTTGGGTGTGACCTTGACAGCGAGGTGAAGCTGAATGTGAGCAAGCTGGACAATGACTGGGGAATAAATGGGAAGACCCTGCGGAGCCTTCTCCTGAGGAATCCAAAGGTTTTGGGCTACAATATTGACTGCAGAGGGGATTGCATGGCCCAGTGCACCCGCTGTTGGGTTCGGTTCTAATGATGTTTTGTTCTTCGTCACCACATCATTGTTCAGAAACTAAAGACTTCGTTTTGCAGGCTGAGTGAAAATTCAGATGAATTTTGCTGCCCATTTTTCTGTAAACTAGCTCCTGTCAAATATAGCACAATCGTAGTTTGGTGGATACTGGATAGGCAACTGTTAGTTCTTGTGTACAACAAATTCAAGAGCCAAACCATGCTGTCTGTAAAAGAGTTGCAATAAATAGGGCCAATTCCTGAATGATCTGTGATACTTCAATCATTCAGGAATTGTAGTATCACAGAACAAGAGCAAATGATTGAAGTATCACAGATCATTCAGGAATTGTCTTGTTATGAGGTTCTGTCGGTTGTGCTTTGATGCATCCACCATTGTGTTGCCATGTTTCTGAAGATAAAGATGAAAAATGTAGACTGTGATAACCTAGTCCTGTCTTATGGTTTTGTTCATTGGTTGCTTACATGTGATCTGGATTCTTATAGTTCCTCACGCTTATACCCTGCTTTGTGATATTGTATTTTACTAGGTCCTTCTTAATGCTGTGTTGGCACAAGTTGAACAAAATTACTACTGCCGATTTGCAAATTGCAATGGCCTATCAGTTGAAGATGTGAATTCCTTGCATTTGGGTATGTTTTAGTGTACACTTTCCTACTTGTTCTACAGTCTAAAATGCCAATTGAGTGAGGACAAATCATTCTTAGTTTTTCTAGGCTAAAATGCCAATTGAGTGAAGACAAATCATTTTTCGTTTTTCTTTTCTATTTTCTCCTGAGTTCAGAAATCAATTGCTGGTGCCCCGAAGAGATCAAATCCATCAAAATCACAGGAATCGAGCCCCATTGGCAATGGTGAGAGCGACCCTCGTCCGTCGTCGTCCTCCAAATATTGTCCTTGTCCGTCCATGAGCGTGAAGCCCTTGATGTCAGAACAGCCGATAACATCGAGCACGGCGTCCGGGAAGAACTCCATGCTCGCCATTCTGCTCACTGCCTCGGTGTCCATCGTCGTCAGGCGATCAGAGCCAGTTCCGAAGCCGCCATTGGCAACAGAGTCGTCGTCGTCGGGCGGCAGCGCGGGCGCGTGGCCGTCGAAGGCGGCGACGTGGCCGAAAGGCTTGTCCTTCCTGGAGAAGGAGGTGCCGCAGGAGCAGACCCAGCGGTCGCGGCCGCAGTGCTTCTCGTGCGTGCGCAGGTCGGCGAGCACGGAGAAGCGCTTGACGTTGCAGCGGCGGCAGGTGTAGCTCTTGTCGCAGTGACTCCGCCGGTAGTGGTTCTTGACGCAGACGGCCGTCTTGAGCGGCTGGAAGCTCCGGTGCTCCCGGTTGCGCTTGCACCCCACGAAGGGGCAGGAGTAGAAGCACCGGGCCGTGGACGACTGCGCGGCGGCGGAGGCGGGCTTGGCGAGCGCGGCCGCCGTCTTGTACTCCTCGCCGTGGCCGCGCATGTGCATGCGCAGGTTGGCGTCGCGCTTGAAGCCCTTGCCGCAGACCTTGCACGAGTGCACGTGCGGCGCCAGGATCTCCTCCTTGCCGAGCTCGATCACCTCGTAGGAACCGGGCGGAGGCATGCGGCCGTCGCTGTCGCCGTCGCCGTCCTCGTCCTCGGCCTGGAGGAGGTCGTGGTCGGACGAGTTGCTGTCGCCGTCGTTCGGGACCGGCGACCGCGTGGCGCCGTCGTCCTGCTCCGCCGCCGCGGCCCCGCCGGTCTCGGCGAGGCTCTTGGCGATGGAGACGAGCTGCACGGCGATGCAGCTGAGCTCGGCCGACACCATCTGCCGCGGCGGCCGCGGCGCCGCGCCGATGATGCCGCGGACGTGCCCGATCTTCTGCTCCAGGAATGTGAGGCACGTCAGCACCGCCGCCGGGTCGTCGGTGCAGCCCCCGGCTTGGCTCTGCTCGCGCTGCTGCTGAGCTTCCATAGCGTTATTGCCAAGCTTGCAAACCTCCATGACGATCTCAATGGATCGATCAATGCCTGATCTTGCTAATCGAGTGGGGGATTGGCTTGGCTGGCCGATCAAGTTCTTGCTCTCTGACGCTGTACGTCGATCGTGTGTCGGTGGTGCTGACTGGTGAAGCCAGCTGAGCTAATCGAGCTGGTTATATGGGCAGCGGTGCTATTCCGTTGTGCTGCAGCCGCCACGTGTGCGTGGGGTCCATGGCGGCGGCGCGCTGCTCATCGGGAGCGGACTTGGATAGAAAGTACATGATCCACTCACCATAAATCTAGCATATATATTAATATTTGAGATAAATAGCAAACTCTAGAACATGAACCAATACAGGATTTAGAGATAGAGGGAGAGAGGTTCGGAGATGCAAACCGTCGGGCTTGGAGGAAGAGGAGGAAGCTATGCCGTCGGTGCAGTGTCCTGGCGGCGGTGTCGAACGGCGTGGTGGAGGCGCTGTCACAGAGGCGGCGGTGCAGAGGTGGTGGTACTTTCTGTCGCTGACAGCGCCCCCCCTCTAGATCGGTGGCGGCACAGGTGAACCTCGTGCCTTGTATCTCAGCCCCCACCTTCTTTTTTTATGTCGTTGTGTAACAAGAGTCTACTAACCATAATTAGGGTTAGACACCCCTTTCCCCCTCAGGACGTGGATCAAAGTTCAATTGACTGTTGGACCAACTGGAGGATCAAATCTAACACGGACATCAGCGTGAGAGGTGGACGGAAGAAGGGAGGCGACAGCGAGGGATGGCACGGGCCACACGCCCACACGGCACACGGGCAGGCGAAACCGGCGTCGTCGGGTGGCTGGCTGGCCCTTGCCCTTGGGGCTCTGGCTTGGGCCATGAAAGCGAGGCCCAAGTGCCCCGCTGCCCTTTCGGACAGCCAGATCCAGATGCATATTTAGTAGTAGTAGTAATTCGCACGCGTTGAAAAAGCAGACGGGATGCTCTTGCTCGCTCATCCGTCTTGGTGGTTGTTGCTTCCATGATCACTCGTGTTTTTTGTCCAAGACCTGAACTGCCTGTCTCCTTTTTCTTTCTTGAGCATCTGACTATGTCCACGTGTTCACACTAGACACGGTGTGCCTTTGCTCTCCCGAGTAGAATCTGATTACATGTAATGTTCACACAATCACACGTAACACGGTTAAATCTTAAAATAAATTTTCGAAAACACGAGCACATGCAGGATACCATCAGAATCACAACCATCTAGTAGTGAAATTCCCACTCTGAGTTCTAATGTATCTACATACTTCTTGCTAATCACATGAAAGCTTAAATTAAGGGATTGTCTACTTCCTACCCAGGTGAAAAAGGTTCTTGCTTCTACACCTGAAATCTGTGAGCTTGTCATAAGGAGAAAATTCAGATGTTTTGTGTTTGGTTAGGGCATGACATAGCTAGATATCTCACTTCGTCCGGTGTTTGGTAACAAAGAATGTAGGTGGGGTTTCTGGCGGCGCAGGTGAACCTCGTGCCTTGTGTCCCGACCCCCCTCCCTTTTTATGACGCTATGCAACGGGGGGCCACCAACCATAGTTAGGGTTGGACGTCCTCGATCAGGGCGTGGATCAAGCCCCAATTAGCCGTTGGGCCAACTGGTGGGATCAATCTAACATTCTCCCCCTTGATCTCACCTTATGACTTAAACTTAACTTACTTACTTTATATTGTTCCCATTCTATCACAGATCAGTGCATAAAGCGTGCCTCATCGTCACGGTCAGTTGCCATTAGATTAAACAGTTACAATGCACCTCTCTGTTTTGAAACAGATTATCAACTGAGCCCTTTTTGTCTAGGAATCATAAGTTTTCTCTTAAACTTATGCCGGCTAAGTGTTCTCTGAACACGCTGGGTGGTAAGCCTTTTGTAAGCGGATCCACGAACATCTTTTCTGTTCTTATATGCTCAAGACTAATTATATGATCATGTACTTTATCTTTCACAACATAATACTTTAAGTCAATATGTTTGGCAACACCACTTGACTTATTTTTATGAGCATAACATACTACTGGATTATTATCGTAGTATAACTTGAGTGGCTTATATATGTCGTCTACCACTTTCAACCCAGGCATGAATTTCTTCAGCCAATTCACCTGCCATGTGGCCTCATAACATGCTACAAACTCGGTATACATTGTGGACGATATAGTGACGGTTTGCTTTGAGCTTTTCCACGATATAGCTCCTCCTGCGAGAGTGAATATGTATCCTGACGTGGACTTTCTGTCATCTCCCGTATAATCAGAATCTGTATACCCCTCTATGTGTAGGGAATCAGATCTTCTGTACGTTAGCATGAGGCCCTTCGTACCTTGTAGGTAACATAAAACTTTCTTTACTAATTTCTAGTGTTATATTCCTGGATTACTATGATATCTGCCAAGTAACCCGGTAACAAATGCTAAGTCAGGGCGAGTACACACTTGAGCATACTGTAAACTTCCGACAGCTGAACTATATGGAATCACTTTCATTTGATCGATCTCATATTAGTTCCTGGGATATTGAAATTCCTCATATCTATCGCCCTTGACTATGGGAGCAGGTGAAGACTTATAATTTTGCATACTGTATTTCTTTAAAACTTTTTCTAAGTATGTCTTTTGTGATAATTCTAAACCCCCCTTTTCTCTATCTCGGTCAATCTCTATTCCTAGGATGAACGAAGTTTCACCGAGATCCTTCATATCAAACTTCGAGGATAAGAACTTTTTTGTTTCTAGTAGTAGATTAACATCACTGTTAGCGAGCAAGATGTCATCCACATACAAGATTAGGAAAATGTATTTCCCATTCTTGAACTTTGCATAAACACAATTGTCCTCTATATTTTTTTGAAACCCAAACTTTCTTATTGTACTATCAAACTTCAAATACCACTGTCTTGAATCTTGTTTTAATCCGTAAATGGATTTCTTTAGGCAGCATCCCATACGTTCTTTTCCTTCCACAACAAAACCTTTCGGTTGTGCCATGTAAACATTTTCCTCCATATCTCCGTTTAGAAACGCCGTCTTTACATCTATCTAAT